AATGTAAGTTTGTGATTTCTCAATGTATTGAATAAAAACTTTTTTATATAACCTATATATGTTTAAGAATTCTCAATTTTTTTAAAAGAAAAAAAAATATTACTAAGCTTTTTAGAATGTATTGAATAAAAACTTTTTTTACTAAACTATATATGTTTAAGAATTCTCAATTTTTAAAAATACGTTTTTAAAAAAAAAAGAATTTTTTTTTTTTAATTCATAAGAACCCGATCTTGAGATTCACTAATGGAATAGCAAATAGATTTGGGGTTCAACACTGTTCATGGTCCCACCCAAAAATTAATAAAAAATTCTAGTGAACCCCAAGAGGGGGTTCACTAATGGGCATGCTCTGCTCTTTGTTGCCACTTGTCACCGTAGTATATACCGAAAATGCTTCAATTTTGTCGTCGTCTTATTTTATTTTCGCCTTATTTTCATATTTCATAAATAAACATCCATTACTCTGAAATGCATTATTTAACGTTTAAACTATGTTAAAGAATTGTTTTGTTTTTGGCAAATGCTAGTCTTTTCCTCTATTTTAAATTACTTAAAATGAAGTTGAATCAAAATATGATAAATATATAAATAACATATTTTTTAGTTTATAACGCAAAATAAAACTAATTTTTATGTTGCTAAAATAACAGAGGCTCGAAATAGTATTTATTAATCAATAAAAACACTAAATTACCATGTATTATAAAATTAACCCTAATTACACCTTTTAAATACTAATTAAAAATTTTAATCACTAAATATTAAATCCAAAAATGTAATTATTTATATCTTTTACTTTTTAATAAATGCTATTTTATACAAATATTATTTCCTATTTAAAAAAAAAACTTGGTTCAATGCTGTTAGAAGATATTTTTATAGCTAGCTATATCTCATTGAAATATATAAAATCGAAGAGAAGAAGTTATATTGGCTATTTAGACGTAAATGCCAAAAATGTTTCATCTTTATTCTTGTTTTATACTCCTTAGTTTTGAACAGTTGATATTTTAAGATTATACACATAGATTAATAATAACACATATAAATTTTATATTTTTAAGACTAAAAATATCATTAGTTATTGTATCTACCCACAATTTCACCAATAATAAAATATAATGTATTATATCATTGATCATATAATATTAATTATTAATGAATATATATAGAAAATTGAAAATTAAAACAAAAAAAATATCATAAAGCGTGTAAGTTTTAAGAAATGGAGGGGGTAAATATTATCTTTACCACTCTTAAACATCTCCTATAGTGATACTTAATAAATATCTATGTATTTAAACAAAAAAAAAAAGAAATAAATAGAAAAATAAGAGAAAAGATCTCTCATTTACTATACCATCCAATAAGGTTGCTTTTACATCTTTCATTTATCACCCTCCTTTGAAATGCATTAATAAAAGTTTAGTTATCTTGAGATGTTTTTGTTTTTGGCATCCTATAGTTTTTTCTTTTAAAAAAAAATAGTATGCACTAAAAACACTTCAAAGTAAATACAAGACAACATGGATTTTGATTACTTTACAACTTCATCTCTTTTATGCATATAATATCTAGAGAGGCAGGAAAAAAAAACAAAGAATATGGCAAACAATCTCAATGTTATTTGTATTTTATGTTTATTTTTCGACGGATGAATGAAAAACTACTAATTAAAAATAGAACTGATTCGACATGAATCCCCTTATGAAGTTCTGATGAAAAACCGAGTGCACTACAGTCTACCTGCTAGTCAACAATTATCTCCAGTTATTTACTTGGAAAACATTTAATAATAGTAAAAAAAAAAAATAATAATAATCTACTATAATTAAAAGGGATAAATGAAGGCTTGAGAGGATGTCCACGTCTGCACTTTTAATCAACCAATAATCTGTTTCCGAATTGCCATGTCATTTATCTCTTAAAAAAAAAACCCAAACCGTAGCCGACGATATACATTGCTCCTCCTTCCTTAGGTTTCACTTTGCCCGCAAAGAAAACCAGAAGGCCAGGCGTTTCACTATATATTTTTATATCCTTAATTCTCACCTTCTCCTTTAATACATCGTTTGAGCTTCAGAATATATAGTCACTAGGTCACCGTCTGATGGGAGTGTATGGATCTTATGTAGTCGGGTGAGATTCCGACATGGCTCCGGTTGGTCCACGTTCCGGTGATGCTATATTCTCCAGCATCGATCGCATGGTAAAAGTTCAGATTTTGAAAGAATCTAGTTCTTGTTGTAGATACACTCTTTGATTCTCTTGGGATTTGGATAAATTTTGTAGAATGCAGAGTTGTTCATGTTGACTTATGGTGCAATCGTGCGTCAATTGCTTACTGACCTCGAAGATGTTGAGGAAGTCAACAAACAGCTTGATCAAATGTATTCTCTTCTTCTTCTTCTTCTTCTACGCTTTTCTCATAGCTCATAGAATTTAGATTTGATCAAAAGTTAGTTCCTTTTATTCATACGCCATGTAAAAAAAAGAATAACGCATTTGACTTTCTGATGAGTATTTGATTATTTAACACTGTTTATTCTGCAGGGGATACAACATTGGTATCCGACTTATCGATGAGTTTCTTGCCAAATATGGCGTTTCCAGATGCGTTGATTTCAAGGAAACTGCTGAAATGATTGCCAAGGTTTGTCACTTTCACTTACTTATTTGTTCTGTACTATCACCATTACTATAAATCAATCTTATATATCAAACTAGAGAACGTTTTAGATATCTCATTTGGTTTTATCCTGCTGAGAAGCAATAACAGGCATTGTGTTTACTACATTAGGTGGGTTTTAAGATGTTTTTGGGGGTCACTGCATCAGTGTCAAGCTGCATCAAACGCTTGTCCATTGATGAATCTACCAATCATCTCTGTTGCTACGATGTATATACACGTCAATGGTTAAATCATCGTATCTTTTCTGTCTGATTCTTCTATTTTTCACAGTTAGATTATGATGAATCACATAGAGGAATATACCGTCTACGGATTAAGCGATGCAATCCATCTGAAAATGCATGATCATCAAACTCAAGCTTCTAATTCTTGATGAACAGGTGTCGCTTCCTATTTTCTTCCTGTTTTTAATATTTTATAAAATTTGTTATCTATGCAGTAGATTCACGACATCCACAAAATACTTTGTTACTGCATCTTGATCTTATTGTTATTATTTTGTGCTTTTCTGATTTGTGTTGGTTTGTGCAGAAGAAATTCCAAAGTTTAGAGTCGCTGGACAAGATTCAGACGTCCTTCAAAATTTGAGTCTGACAGTCATGGAGAGTGTAGAGGTTTTAAGAGAGATCCACGGGAGTCAATCTTCGAGCTACACTTTTTTTTTTCTCTAGAGAAACAACTGCTTATCATTCATTGTTTCTGATATGGACCACTCTCTTTTGTTTTTCTTTGTTTATGGTATGTGCAGGTTGCAGAGTTTATATGCCTCCTCAAGTCCTACCTTCAAAAAAGGCGATGACTTGCAGGAAACCGGCTTTGCTTGAGCTTTATGAGTTTATCGTCGGTCTTTCTGTCTGATACACTATTTCAAAAAGGCGATGATACCTGTGTCTTTCGTGTTGGCGCACATCTCAGGTTATTCTTTCTAAGTTAGCAAAGAAATACAATGCAAGATTTGTGCTGAGGTGAGCTCGGAATATGTTTGGTTGAGGTATGATGATTGAGGTATGATGTGGTTGTCTCACTCATACAATGTGGCTGACACTTTTCTATGAAAGGACAAAAAATGCTCCTTTGGTGCTGTTAAGCCATCGAAGCAGCATGATATAAGCAAAGATGTTCCAGCCAACGGATCCAGCAATGATAATGAACCTTCGGTTGTGGTTCCCAATCAGGTTAATTCAAGAAAGTTAACTAAATTGGTGTCGATGTTAGTTTATCTTTGAACTCTTATTAAACAGTGTTTTTGAAGTAGTTATTTTGATGTGTATTTGATTGTGGTATTCTTTCCCAAGTTCCCAAGCAAATGTTGCTCGAAGAATTGAATCCAAACAGCCTTTAAGAGAAAGAAGCAAGCTTTTTTCAGAGGAAAATTATACAGCTTTGTGTGTAGATTTTTTCTTATATATTTCCATAAGTTATATACAGCACTGTGATATGTAGCCTTGCTTCAAGGCGTGTATGGTGTACCGTTTGCGCAAACAAGTTGTTTAACACTGGACTTGGTTTCAGTTTTGTAATACCGTCTTGGGCTTTGGACAGACACAGGGAGGTGATGCTTAGAGCATGCTTCTTCAACTGGTAAGACATTCTTCATGTCTGATTGTGTTGTTCTTGCGATCAAGGAGTCCGAATCAGCAGCTCCTGCTGGTAACCACATCTTAGTTTTTATTTATAGTACCCTCATAACTATCGACAAATCTGCAACTTTTTCTGATATTTCTGTTGCTTTGCAGGAAATGGCTTCTAAATTGGCATTGAGAACAAGTGTAATCTCTGAGGAAGCAAAAGACATAACCAAGTTCTTTATTTTTTGATGGGAAACATTTTTATTCTATGTAAATTTTATGTTTTTCTAATGACCTGAAGAATATATAAATTGGTTTTTGGTTTTGTAAATAAAGAACAAACAAATATTTGAATAGAAAAACATGTTACTAAAGACATACTCTTTTCACGTGATGTCGGGGGAAAATTAGATGATTTACAACAGATTTAAATATAGCTTTTGTTTTTATAGAAGAAAAAGAAGAAAATAGAAAGTGATATTAATGAAGGTTTGGTGTTAATGTTAAAAATAGATATTAAGTATTTATGTTTTTGCCAAGTCTTCACGTTTTTTATAAAATTACAAATTGCAAATATAACAAACTAAACAGCGTAATAAGAAAATAACTTGCAAATTAAATATTTTAGTTTATTTCACAAAAGAGAATATTTGTGATGGTACACTTTTAAAAACCAGGGACATGCAAAAGAAATAAAACTTAAGAAAATAAATATTTGTTACAGTATAAATTAAACATTTGAAATTAAAATTGAATTGAAAATTAATTTAAATTGTTAAAACTGTAGACAAAAAGTTCACACTAAATAGAGAAGTATAAACACAAATATTTAGTAGCTGACGAAGCCATCCATAAATATTTTTGTTTGCTGTTCATGAACAACATAAATACTCCATACCGAAATATAGAAATACGAAAGAAAAAACATGTTATGAAATTTAACATTCATTTGGAAAAAACAAATTTCCATTAAATTATTATACAAACATTTAGTTTTTTCTAATTTTTCTATTTTTTATAAGAAAAAAGAAAACAAAAAATTTATCAACGTGAATAAAAATGTATACACGAATGAAAAAAAACATCCCCATTAGATTTTTTGTTTTGGTATTATAAGTCCAGTGGCTCATAAAAATCTAACACCTATATATACATGTTGTATTATTAAATGTTTTTACATATTTAAATAAAAAGTGTAACTAGCTAATTATTTGAGCTTTTAATAAGTGTTTTAAGATATCTATGTATTTAAAGATAAATATAATAATTTAAACCAATAAAAAAATTATACGATATATATTTTAGAAATAATTTGGGTTTGAGTTAACTAAGAAAAGCTATAGCTTCAATAATTTCGTTCGAAAGGAATGTGTATGTTTTCCTTAAATAGATTCTGAGTTCTGTGTGTTTTATAGGTAACTGGATTTTGGTTTGAGGTGTTGGGTCCTAATCTATGTTTCAAATTATTTAGGAAAAATATTCTTATTGATATTTTGTTCAACAGTGAACAAAAATAAATTGATTACGAAAAATTTAATTCAGTTTACCAAGAATAAAATGATTAATGAAATATATTTTCTGGGAAAAAATAAACAGCTATAGAAAAATTAAATGAAATTGCTAAAAATACCATAAATTAACAAACACTTTTCAAAAATACATTCAATCATACTATAAATTTGAGTTTATGATTTACTGACTATTGTTTACGGTTTAGTATTTAGGGGGTGAAGTTGGATTTATAAATTCCTTTCAGTTTTTTTAGAAATTATTCTTGAATATTTCTAAATTTTAGTTAAATTTTTCATTACAAATTTAATGCATTTATGAAAATGGTTTTATTTTAGAGATACTATTTAAACTAGCACTTTTTTGATATTCATTTTCATGTTTACCTTAAGTACATTGACCTTCGCTTTCTAAGGGCTAAATATAAAATTATAATCCAATAGTTAAATAATCTAGATTTGCGGTTTAGATTTGAAAGGTGGTGTTCAGAACTTTAGTAAATATATAAATAAATAGTAATAAAAATTTTAAAAATAGTTTCAAAAAGAAAAGTTGAAAAACTATGAAACTTTTTTATAAAAAAAATTGAATTTGAAAGTTATAGTTCAAGAACTATAAAAATACTTTTTTAAACTTTTTATTTGTATAAATAATTATTTATATTTACATATTCATAACATAAGGTATAAATATATTTTACCTCCTTAATGAAATCTCATACTTATATATTTTGAAAATCATCGTTTAGAGAAGGTAAACATGAATAATAGTAACAAATAGAAGGTAAAAAAAAAATTTCTCCTATTTTTTAAAGATAAATTTGAAAATTGTATCAAATTTGGTGGTAAAACCGAAATTTATACAAACTTATATTGAAACTAGTTTAAAATATTTGTTCACACATTTGTTTTAAAATAACTAAATATAAAATATGGCCAAAGACTAACTTACATAGTATTAATAACTTTTAAAACAAATAATTTATACATTAAAAAAACACAAACTAAAATCAACTTTATCATTTATTTATTTTTTTGTATATTAAAATATTAAAAACATTTGAGTTCACAAATAACATAAATAATAATGATAGTGTGATTCGATAAACAATTATGATATATTTTTATGAGATAAAGACTCTTCTATTTTACAACGTCGTACTTTCAAAATAAAATTAGTGTATTATTACATACAAAAGGAAAAAAAGATACATTAAATACAATATATAATAAAGTCATGAGTAATAAATAAGATAACCATTCTTAAAAATAATATAAATATAAAAACTGTTTAATATAAACTTTATCACTGTTTATATCTAAAATATATACTATAAATTAATGGTAGTTTAAACAAAAAAAAACTTATAATCTTTCAATACATTTCACTCTAATTTGTCAAATATAATCAAAACAAACCAATGATATAACATAACTAATATAATTTATTTTAAATTTTATTGTTTAAGTTATACTCCCTCTATTTCAAAATTATAAATGTGTTTAAAAAATTGTTTAAAATAAATATTTTTCATTTATTGCATTTTCTTAGGTTGTTAAATTTTAAGCGACTAAAAGTTATAGAAACAGTTAGTCACAAAATAATGTATTTACAATGAAATTTAAATGACTATAATATGTTGAAAAAAATTTATACATATATCTTTTAAAACTTTATAAGCAAATAAACCGCGCGGTAAAATCTCTAGTAGTATATAATAGTGAAAAAGAAAACATTTGATAGCAGTCGACGATTATCTCCAGTTATTTACCTTGGAAACATTTACCGCCAAAAATTGACGCGAATAATACCCCGGCAAAATTGATCAAAACGACCGCTCCAAAGCGTTTAATTCGAAAGTCTCCCGCTCCTACTCTCTTACTAAATACCCTCCTCCTTCAGATCTTCCCCAACTTCACACTCCCTCTTTCGCTTCATCTCAATTAGGGTTTTTGATCTCAGCGAGATGGCGAAATCCAGCAGATCGACTAACATGGGGAAAGGGGTTATCACTCCGACGCAAATTGCTTTCATCGTCGATCGTTACCTCCACGACAATCGATTCTCTAAAACCCGAACACTTTTCAGATCCGAAGCTTCGTCTCTCCTCTCCAATTCCCCAGTTCGCGATGTAAGCCCACGAAGCTTTTCACACATTTGGCTCTTCTTTCGTTGTTTTTTTCTTTTGTGTCGCTTATGCGTTTTTTTTTGGTTCGTAGGTTCTGAAGAGTTATTTGACACTTGAGGATATATTGAAAGACTACGTATCTCTAAGAGAGCAGAAAGTGGCGTTGGATCATGAGAGTGTGACATTGGAGAAGGAGAAGGTTAGGGTTCAGAATCTGTTGCAAGGGATGCAGAATGTTATGAACACTTACAACTCCTGCTTGACCTCTCCTCCTCCTCCTCCTCCTCCTCCTCCTCCTGCTTCTCAACAGAAAAGCCACACCATCTCTTCAGGTATTCAGAGTTTTTTGTTTGTTTGGCATTTTACTGTTTGAGTTGCATCTGGCTGTTCCGAATTGGAATGATTGAAATATTGTCACTTAGATGCAACCCACTTAGGCACATAAAACTGTGACTGCAGAAAACTTGTTTGCTAGCTATTACATATCAGTTTGATGTTCTGTAATTTTATCTGGCTGACACATCCCGCTTTACACATCTTGAACTAATCATGTCTCTTTGCTTTTACAAGGTTACACACAGGACGACACACCCAATGCTATGTCAGTATCTCTGTTGGGTAACAAAAGAGTACGTTGTGGGAACTTTCCCACACCTTCGACCAGTCATCAGCCTATAACCGGAAAACGAAAGGGTCATGAAGCTTCTACAGGAGCTCCTCCAGTGGCTAAGAAAGCTCGAATTGCTACGGCACAACCCAACCCAACAGTAAATGGTATGTCTGTGTATGCATCCTTACATGTGTATAACATTTGGTTGAAGCTCTTGTATCGTTAAACTTATCTTTTGTCCTCTTTACTTGAATCAGAGACTAATAGGATCCCACAAGTTGATACAGCAGCTAACAATTTCTCTTCTCAAACTCCATTGGCGAAAAACTCATCAGCTAATAAGTCTATGACTGGTGCTGTGTCAAGCGTAGCTGATTCACCGCTTACTACTAATTCCACATGCCTTATGACACCACAAAAACATGCTTCCTCTGTTACTGGTAAATCCAACNATCAGAGACTAATAGGATCCCACAAGTTGATACAGCAGCTAACAATTTCTCTTCTCAAACTCCATTGGCGAAAAACTCATCAGCTAATAAGTCTATGACTGGTGCTGTGTCAAGCGTAGCTGATTCACCGCTTACTACTAATTCCACATGCCTTATGACACCACAAAAACATGCTTCCTCTGTTACTGGTAAATCCAACAGTCCCCAGAAAGAAGTTACCCCTACAAACTGCACGATTGTTACAAAGGAGAGATTCACAATTAGCCCTCTCAAGAAAATTACTTCTTATACAATGGAAAGGAGCCATCTTATCTCTTCTTCTTCACCGGTCAAGTCCAACCTCAAGATGTCAAATAAGAGAGACCATGTGAAAGGAAGACTCAACTTTGACGACACTGATACAGAAAGGTGCCTTGAGGCATCACCTGCTACTACAGATTTGGCTTCAACTTCTCCATCTGAGTCTGAGCCGGAAGTTGATTTATCTGACTTTGATTTTTCTATCTTGGCTGAAGACTTCTCATTCTCAGAGCTACTGGTTGATTTTGATATTGGCTTTGAAGGAAGTACCCCCAAAACACCTGCTGAAATGGTTTCAGGGTATGTTCTATGTTTTATAGTCTCAGTTTCTGTAAATTGCTATTATCTCTTGCTGTTTTCTTACGCCATCCTAAATCTTAACCACAGGTCGTCTCCTGAATCAGGGAATTGGGATCTATAGGCGGAGCAGGTCATGTCAGAGTATACACCAGATGCGCTTGAAGTGATTCCAGGGATAGAGATGATCACTCAAGGTTGGTATCTTCTGGTCTGTCTCATTTGCATGAGATGATGGCGAGACCGCTGCAGAGCCTTCTGCTTGGGTTAACTATGGTGACAATTTTCAAAATTAACTATGGTGACAAAGTCTTCTGATTCAATTTGTATATATTTAACTTGGTTTTGGCTCTATAGTATAACAAACANATTCCAGGGATAGAGATGATCACTCAAGGTTGGTATCTTCTGGTCTGTCTCATTTGCATGAGATGATGGCGAGACCGCTGCAGAGCCTTCTGCTTGGGTTAACTATGGTGACAATTTTCAAAATTAACTATGGTGACAAAGTCTTCTGATTCAATTTGTATATATTTAACTTGGTTTTGGCTCTATAGTATAACAAACAATTTCTCTCTACTGATATCGACAACAAAATCTAAGTTTTTTTTTTCTTTTTATCATTTATGCATCTATCGGGAACTCGAGATGTGTCAGGAAGTCAGAAAATGGCTTATGTTTCAAGCCAAGTACTTCTCCACTTCTTTGCTTCCAAAGTAAACTGGAACCCTCTGATAAATCTGTCAGGTATCACAAAAAAATTTAGTGACAATAAGCTTTGATTCCAGGAGTTGTTATGGTTAAACTCTTGTAAGAAACTAAACATGAAATGTGTTTTGGAGTTACTTTCGTAATACTTCCATCCTTAATACCTCAATTGGATCCAGACCGTCCTATGCTTGGAGAAGCCTATATGCTGCAATAAAAATCTTGAAAAAAGGGGCCAGAGCTGTAGTGGGAAATGGAGCGAGCATAAACATCTGGGAGGATCCGTGGATTGATGAGAAGCCAGCTAGACCAGTGTTATCTACTCGTATGATACCTCAACGCAGTCAAAGCGATGCCAGTCAATGCACTTGAGTTAAACAGCTCATATATCCAGGAACATCGGAGTGGAATCTACACAAGCTGCAACGTCTCTTTTGTGATGATGACATATCGAAGATTGTGAGATTGAGGCCATGCAATGAGCTGTGCAAGGATGGATATTGCTGGGATTTCACAAAGTCTGGAGATTACTCTGTCAAGTCTGGTTACTGGGTTATGAAAAATCTATTGAGACAATCTGAGGAGGAAGAGACTCCAGTTAATCAACCCTCTTTGGATCCTTTGTATAAAGTGATCTGGGAAGCGGACGTGTGTCCCAAGATACGACACTTTCTCTGGAGATGTCTAAATGATTGTCTACCAACGGCAGCTTCCCTTAAGTTTCGACATCTCACAAAAGATGGGACATGCAGTCGCTGTAATTCTCAGGACGAAACTGTGAATCACCTTCTCTTCACTTGTACTTATGGTAGACAGATATGGGCTCTATCTCCGATACCAGCTCCACTGGGAGGAGAACTGTCTAGCTCACTGTACCAGAATATATACTGGCTACTCACCACAGCGAAGCAGAATGGCAATGACTGCCTCAAGACAGGGCCGTGGATTCTTTGGCGGCTTTGGAAGAGCAGGAATGATTTTATCTTCAAAGGTGTAGACCATGATGACATGTCACTAATTAATAAGATGTTTGTGGATTTTGAGGAGTGGAGTAAGAGAGATGATATGGAGGTTAAAGAAGAAAACAGTGCACCAGCTATGAGACACGAAGGGAAATGGTCACCACCACCAACTAACTGGCTAAAGTGTAATCTAGATGGAGCGTGGAATAAAGACTTGGAAAACTGTGGAGTTGGTTGGGTACTAAGAGATCATAGCGGTGAGGTTTACTGGATTGGTTCAAAAAACTTACCACGGTTGAGATCCCCTTTGGAGACCGAAGCTGAGGCATTGAGATGGTCTATGATGCAGATGGTTAGATTGAACTTCACAAGCGTTATATATGAATCAGATTGTCAGCAGCTGGTGGACGCCATCAACCATCGTGAGAAAAATCACATGATCAATTCTTATGCTCAAGACATCACCTCTTTACTTGCAGCTAGGGAGGACTTCAAGATAACTTTTAATAGGAGAGAGTGTAATAGTGTGGCTGATAGAGTGGCAAAGGAAGATATATCTTTAGATGACAATGTTTCCAAATTGTACTCTTGTATGCCAAGTTGGATAAAATCCCTTGTGGAAGAGGATAAAATCAGGTTGTAAAACATTTGGAGAATAATGAGTTGAAGTTGAGACAAAAAAAAAACATGAAATGTGTTTTGAGTTACGTCGGTCGGTTGGATATCTAGTACTCTCTGGTGTCCATCTGATCCTTTTTCCTCCAGCTTGTTCAACAATGAAACTCATCGGTGCACATATCAAAAGCCTAAGCTTTCGTTTTTCTCTTAGCTTCACGAGGATACCCATAAATCCCACTGTACAGCAAAGTCGTGTGAAAATCTCCGACCAAACTTCCAATGTAACTTTCCGGGTAAGGCTTCCCACTTGGACCAGGGTTCTTGAGATCATCAATGTGCTTGTTAAGATTCTTGTCGATCATCAATGTAAACCCTTCGTTGAAAGAGCAGATCTTCATAAATTTTTGTTTATCTTTGTAATGCAACACTGTAGGTGGTGGAATGTACTTCCTCACCAGCCCATACAATAACGAGCTCAGCCCAAGCGAGTTTAGGCCCAACAAAAGAACCCTCTGGTAATCAGCAATAAATTGAGCTTAGCTCGGCTAATCCCCGCGATTAACCGAGTTAAGAGCGTTTAAACAAGGCGCTTGACTTAGCGGGCCGACCAAGGCCCATTTGGCGAAAGCCCGCAGGAACCACTATGAGTCCGCTAGGTCAAGGTGTAACCGCTATAAAAGGGAGAGAGGAGCTAACGAGAAGGGGATCCAAAATCACTCTCACTCACAAGGCGGCTAGAACTAGGGTTTTCACTCTTTGACTTCTTTTCCGACTTGTACGGCACGACCGAGCTCCCCGCGAGACTCCGCCTCGTCTCTCATTTCTCTATTTGTAACTGAACTCCCTTATTAATACAAACACGTCTTTGACTCTAAATCGTAATAAACCGCCTTTGAAATAACCCACCGACGAATCCTGTCACTCATTTACTGAACAGACCGAACTCGGTTCAAACAAACACTATATCACAACCGAGTCGAATTGAAATTTCTAAAACCTGAAAAGCGAGTTAGGAGATGTAACCAAAATAAACAAGGGTCTACCAAATTGTCATATTATAAAGAGTGTACTATCAAACAGCTTAAGTTCAAGATAAAACCACACCAATATGGTGTATAGTGAAAAAGGCATCTGTATTGTATAGTCTCAAAATGAAAATATGAAAAAGAGAACATAAAAACATAGTCTCAAAACGTAAAAAAAAAGAAGAGGAAATACGAAGCCCTAACAAAGACTTTTCATAAGCTTTACATCCTCAACATAATCTTGAAAGATAAAAACTGAAGGACGGTGAGACTTCAACTCTTGAAACCCTTGTATTTCAATTGATCTTGACAAAGTCTTCCTCTCAACATTGTAGTAAAAACATGAAAAGGATCTGAGAACAGGCGACAAGACAATATCACATGTCCGAGTCATTCCAACAATTTGAAATACACACGGAATATGCTTCTGCTTCCATGAAAGAGGCAGCTCGTAGATATCCGTTGACCATTTATTTATCTCAGCAACATCTTATAGCAACCACAAACGGAGAGTTATTTGATTGCTATCTGTAAAGTGAACTGCACCTAATCTACCCTTGTAGTTTATCAAAGTAGGACTTCCCATGCTTTCATTATCTATATTGATAAAGCTGAACTTCTCAAATCTAACATCAAAGCAAACTATCACAGACCCCGTAGGCTGAATATCAGAGTGACCGATGTAATACAACACCCTGTCTATACAAATCATATCACAAGACACGTTAGGGAAATGGGTTTTGCATTTGATACTTCTCCATAAAAGTTTTCCAGTCCCCAATGTCAGAACCAGAGATTGAGACTGGTTAGCGGATATACATAGCACTTTAAATTTTTTGTCTATCGGATCATACCCGCAATAAAACATTGGAAATGATGATCTTGTTCTCAGCTTCGGGTAGTGTAAGAAACTCCCCAGTGGCGGGAATACAAATCACCGGGGGCTTCATGTAGTTAAAAACCATAGGATCGAAAGAAACTCGAATAATTACAAGGTAACCAGGGGTATTTCACGAACCATCAAGACTCGAATCATAAAATTCGGATCTTCAGTGTCCATAACTTCAGAAACATTACTGAAACTTTATGTAATTATATAATTTGGTATAAGTGTAACTATAATCTAGAACTATTTCACACTTGTAGTAACTGTACAACTTAGTAAACTTTCAACTAATTTTGACTGTATCCTGTACATTTGCAATATGTTATTGATATATTTAGTGATAACATATCCAAGACAATGTAAAAATAGTTATTCATTTACATTATGTTACTGATATATTTAGTGAAAGTAAAATAAATAAAAACTATAGAAATTACATTAAGAGAAATGTATTTTATATAAAGTTTACAAAAGTATATAACGGTGCATGGCATAACTTATAAACACATGTAAATACTCCATCCCTAATCTTCAATTGGACACTAAGCAGCAGTCAAATGAATATCATTGCAGAAGTCCCAAACTGCACATTACCAGAAAAATCGATTGTATCTCCACCGTGTTCTTGATCCATCTAAGGAGATAACAAACACCGCTTGTATCATTTCAGAGCACCAGCAATTATAATTGATCTTGAGATCTATCTTTTCCAATAGAGACATAAAGATCTGTGGTTTTTTGTAACCCCAATAACCTGAAGATACCTCAGTAGCGATCATGTGATCCATCTGATCAGCAAACTCACGTGTAAAAGTAGGAAAGTTATGAACTAGTCCTCTATCATCAACACTAAATGCTAAGTTGAGCATACCATCAACGTAATTGGCCAACAAAAATCCCTTCTCACCAGCAAGACATTTTTTCCCTTCGTTCATCAAGTAAATGGAGGACGAAGAACTCATACATACCTCGCAGGTAGATGGCCTGTGGATTACCGGCTTGGTAACACTAAAGCTTGTATGTTCTGACAGCATTAACCTCATCAGTCTAGTCATTCAAGTGAATAAGATCTACAGTTTTGTAGAAGTATTCTTCTCTGCCAATTTGATTGAAGGCGGGTAATGCAACTCTTGCACTAACGAAGTCCCGGA